ATCAGAAGTGCTTATTAATATAACATATGCATGATTTGATTTTTTCCCCAGAAGATTGAGATATTTTAAGACGGAATAATGGATATAATATTCCTAATGATTGAGCTTTTTCAATGAAAATAGTTGATCAGATTTTTTTTGCATGAGAAAGTTTTCATATGATATATGATGATATTGCTGGTAAACTAGTAGTGGGCTGTGTTACTCAATAACAAATATTCCTGCCTATAGTAATATTCCTGTATCTATCAGAGAGACATCAGGTGCCGTCTGCTAAACCTGTTACTGTAGCAGTGAAAGTAGTTCCGTGGCTCTATGATACAGTGCTATATAGTTTACCATACAACATTTTATATTCTGTTGGTTTCGTATTTGTAAGTCTATTTCTATTGCCTTTTGATGAATAAAAGTGTTTATAATTTTTCTTGGAAAAAAACCATAGCAAGGGTGCAAGAAAATTGTTAAAGCTTTTATGATAAAAGATTATATTATATAATCATAATCAACCAATGTGATATCTCGGATTTATAAAACTATTTTGTACTTAAAAGGTAAGATGTTATTGTATATGATTTTGGAATTGGAAAGTGGACAGGTTTTTTAAAAATTCTAAGAAAAGAAAATGATATTAAATAACAGTAAACCATCATTAAAAAGCTTGCTTCCGACTTATTGATAATTATGATTTTTATAATTATGTGTGCTTAATTTTTTTATATTTCGAGCTAAAAATGTTAAGAAAAATTTATAATTTAGGAAAGTTTGTATTTTAATTATGAGACATTGACAGTTTCATACAATAAAATAACATTCATCATTCCTGTACCTGTCATGTTTGAAAATAATGAATATTCTGAAAAAATATGACAATTGATTTATTATATTTTTTTCTTGACAATTTTTGAATTTCCTTGTAAATTGAATTATATTTTGCTGATAAAGCAAATCATATTTTACTTGTAAATTGAATTATATTTTGCTTGTAAAGTAAATCATAATTTGCTTGTAAATTTAATCTTATTTTGCTGGTTAATTAAATATTTTTTCCTGGTGAATTTAATCATTTTGTGCTAGTAAATCAAATCATGTTTTGCTAGTAAATTAAATCAATACATATTTTTCTGGTGAATTAAATAATTTTTGCTAGTAAATTAAATTATATTTTGCTTGTAAACTAAATCATATTTTGCTGGTGAATTAAATATTTTTTACATGTGAATTAAATAATATTTTACTAGTAAATTAAATCATATTTTTCTGGTGAATTAAATAATTTTTGCTAGTAAATTAAATCATATTTTGCTTGTAAATTAAATCATATTTTGCTGATGAATTAAGTATTTTTCCCTGGTGAATTAAATCATATTTTGCTAGTTAATTAAATCATGGTTTGCTGATAAATTAAAATAATACTTTTCTGCTAAATTATATATTGTTTGGTAGTAATTTAAATCATATTTTGCTTGTAAATTAAATCATATTTTGCTTGTAAATTAAATCTTATTGTGATGGTGAATTGAATGAAAAAAAATGCTCGTAAATTACGTCATATTTTGCTAGTTATTAGATCATTTTTTGCTAGTAAATTAAATCATGTTTTGCTTGGAAATTAAAATTATATTTTGCTTGGAAATTAAAATAATGTTTTGCTTGTAAATGAAATGATATAAAATACAGAATTCTATTGGATGAGTACACAGCTTTCAAGCCTATATTGGATTAAGTGTTTGCTGAGTCCAATATAGATTTTGCAGCTATGTACAAGTGCACTAGAATCATTAATGTATATTGCCTTTTCAATTTCTTACTATCAAATATGATTGTCACAAACTGCTATGCATTAATGGTGTAATAGTAATAATGTGACACTTGTAATAATTGTCCATTGTATTACAGTGGAGGGCCAGCCAGATATAAAAAATAAACATATTTTTAATTTTAATTGCATATTTTATTTATTTTTACAATAATTATTGATGATTTTTTATATTTAAAATAAAATGAAAGAACATTCTACACCAATTTGCAATGGTCAGGCTAATCTAAAAGATAAGGTCAGACAGCACTGTTGGGTATTACAGTATTATTTAGGATTATACCACACCAGAACCATATAGAGTTAGATTACAAGTGAAATCTGCAGTACTATGATAGTGTATTATCTGTAATCAGGATAGTCACATGTAACCACCTGTTCCTCTGTTTATGTATCCATGTAAATGTTATTGCATTTTCTGCAGATAAAAGCTAAAAATCTGTATACAATGAAGTAATATTTCATTAACTGCTTCCACTTGTGTGTAACTTTTTATTTTCTGTTTTGTGCTATTTCATACCTTAACATAAAGTGATTAAACCTAATTGTGACAAGTGCAGACCAATGTCAGCTTGCACACATCCACGTTGTCTGATCATGATGACTTCACCCACTTCCAGGCAAGAGGCAATAACTATGTCATGGAATTTTACATTGATATATTATGTCTCCTTTTATTCAGAAAGAATTTTTTCATACCTGTAACCCCACTTATTTCATATACCCTTTGAGGCTTTAAATACTTATTAGTGACCATCATCCCAACTTCAGGCAAGTACCAGTATAAAAGTCATATGGACAACTTTCAATTTGTGTTCCAAGTCTTAAAATAATGTCATCTATTATGTTAACATTGTAGAACAAGACAATAAAATGATGAGCCCACTTCATTTCTAACAATTTGATTATCAATCAAATATTATTACATTGAATTTATAAAATATGTTACATTGAATTTATCAGATATGTTACATTGAAGCTTTATCAGATATATATTACATTGAATTTAAAAAAGTATATTACATTTAATTATTAGTTGTATTTAATTTTTCAGATATGTTACATTCAATTTATTAGATAAATATTACTTTTGATTTATAAGATATAAAGCATTACAATTATTAGATATGAAGCATTGAATTTATCAGATAATTAATATAATATTTGATTTTTCAAATGTGCAATATATAGTTTATTAGATAATTATGCAACATTGAATTTATCAGATAAAATATAACAAACAGTTTTAATTTATCAGATATCTGTTATAAATTGACTAGGTGTCATTTACATAAATTTATCAGTATGTACAGTTAATTTGATATATAAAATTATGTTTAATTTCGCGCTAGTAAAAATATGACAACAACTGTTAATTCATTAAAACTAAGTGGAAATGATACATCTAAACTAAGCCTTATTGAGCCAGGTTAGAGGCTTCTAAATAAGGTTCATGGACCAGAGTGGCAGAATTGCTTTTCTAGATTAATTTGGACATTAATTTATTCTCCAGTAATGTACCAAATGAATAATGTTGAGAATCTGAGAGTTACTGGTGAGAAAAGCCAGTTAGTACTGGTACAGCTTTTAGGTAATACTGAAATACCGGGTACTGAAGACAGTATATGTTATAACACCCTCTTTCTCTGTCTCTCTGAGGCTCTCTCTCTCTCTCTCTCTCTCTGACCTCAACCACCAACCATCCCCCCTCCATAACCGATTTCCAAAAAACAATTCAGATATTTGATCTGAGCTATTACAAATTACTGAGAGACTTATCAAAGCCTGTATAGATTGCCTTTATCTAATAGTAACATAAAACATTATTAAATAAAAACACAACTAACTCAATTTGTGTTCATCACAGAGGTGGGTGTTTTTCTCTGTTTATCCCATAATTTTGTTTTAGTAATTGGTAAAAACTACAGTCATTTAATCAGAAAAAAAACAATATTGGAGACCATTAGTGTTCAATACACAAGGGAATTAAAAGTAATTACTGATGCTTATCAGTCAAGTTGTTGATAACAAGGCTCTCATTATATCACTGCCCTTGCTTCACAATGTTCAGATGACAGTGCAATTGCTTCGGCCATAACTCTTTCAGTGAAGCTAAAAATAAAATAATACCTAATTGGTGTTGGCATAACAAATTGGTTAAATTCTTGTAACTTCTTCTCATCATTCACCACTTTAAATATTTGCTTGTATATACTTCACACACTTATTTAAGATCAATTAAAAGGTCACAGTAGAAGACCTATAACTCTAGCATGGATTGTCATAGAAATATGGCCCTTCTTAATCTAAAAATAACTTTATATAAAATTATAATTACTTAATGTTTTGATTTCAAAAAATTTAGTTGAGGCATTAATTTTTAAGAAATTACTGATGGTTTTCGAAAGTACACTTAAATCTAAGACCAACAACTCAGGAATGGATTTTGAATGATATATTATCATTTGTGAATTTGCAAAATGTTTTAGCCAATATCCAAGACCAGAGACATAGATGAATACATTATCTACATCTCTGCCAAGACTCATGAAAATAGTGGAGGGCTCTGTCCTACTGACAGCTTTTTTTTTTTTGCTTACTGTTTAGAGGGGAAATCTGAGAAGCATGCAATTGTGAGAAGCCATTTTGGTCTTTTCTCAAATAATGACATAACAGCAGAAAACACCTTTTTCCTCCTAATAAAACAAAAAAGGGTATACCTGTTGTTTTTTGGGGGACTGATGGTACTTAATGAGTGGGACTTAAGACCTGCCTTGTAGATAATTAAGTGCTTAATTGCTAGTATTCAAGGGTGATAACTAACTCAACTGCCAAAAGCTCAATCCAGCTGTGATGCTGCAAAGCTGTTGAAGAATCCAGCTGTGATGTAGAAGAAATGTCAAGATTAAAATAGATGGCACAAAATTGTTCATTAAACCTGTTTAATAACAATGTATTACATATTATCAGATAACGAGGGAAACTTTACTATATTGTTTAATGATGTAGCTGCATGATAGTGTGTAAAAAGCCTACAATGATAAGATAATTCCTACCTGATGCCAAATTTAAGATAAAACATTGAAATAAAAGAGCCAAATGTTAAACAGGCAAGAGAAAAAAAATGATTGAATATCTTTATATATTATTTTGTACCTGATAGTGATCGTTTGATTTTTTACAGGTTGTGCATGACATAGATGAAGTAAACAACTCTATATTTTCAAGTCTGTTGAAGGTAGGAATTCTTTTATCTTGGAAGTTATTTTCAAAATTTCCTGTTATTTTTGTTTTGTTTCTCCCATTGATTCTCTATTATACAGATATCACTGCAGGCTACTGAATTTAAGGTGTGCAATGTTAACAAGTTCTCCACATGTGCAGGAAGTCACAAATTTTATCTCTTATGGTTATTTCGACCAGATTAAAAGTATGAAAATATTCTTGCTGCTCCTCTATAGGACTCTTTGGGTGTGGACCAAACTTTTGACCCTTACTCCTTACTGACAAACAAGTTGTATGCTTTAAAACTAAAATTAAATTCTTTTTTGTTATCTGCTTGGTTTAAAAAAAAAAGAAGGGACATATGGTTGGCAGGCAGGGTGAGTGCAAGGGAGGTCCAAGCATACCTTCTCCTGTGATGATGAGGCATGGAGGGATGTTAGTATTTCCTTGACATAATAATTATGTTCAACACAATTAGACATTATACCTGTGTTACTTACATAAAGGAGGTATGTTAAACGTTGCGGGAAACACTTAATTATTGTGAAACATTAACATACATAGCAGGATTGTAAACATGGCTCAAAATTTAAATGTTCAACATTGTGAGGTATAGTGTTTTGTCCCTTTGGCCAAGGTCAGATAAGAAAATCAAAATGTAAGTATATATGAATCCTTAAGTACTCATGTTTTGCGGGAGACTGAGCATTTGTGAAGGGCGTATTTTGTCTCAAATTGACACTCTTGTTGTAAATTTCAACACCAAAAAAATATGCTAAATTTAGAAAAAAAATCATCTAAGCAAGAAAAGTACAAAAGTATAAAGATTGAAATATATGAATGTTATCAATGCCTTTCACTGTTATTATAAACGTGACTATGAAAATATGCTAAATTGCTTCATCTTTTTGCACCCCATTATTAAGGGATAATTCTTCCACTCAGTGAGTCTAGGTAGTCAGTAAAATATAGGGGGATCATATCATTTTCTTGCTTTGTCAATTAAGTCTGATACTTCATTGAGGCAATGGACTTGACAGTACTGTGCTCTCTGGGCCACAATTAACACTCCTCATGGGTGCATTTATAATAAGTCTTTATACTGGCAGGTCATGGGGAATTAAACCGGACCCCTTTACATAAAATTCTTTATGTTCCCTGCAGCATCTCTGAATAGAAAATACAGATAGTGTGTTTGTAGATGCTAAAATGACTATTATTTTATTATCTGTAAATTAAATAGCTATTCGATTATTTTTTACAGTGCTAAAATTACCTCTTTTTATTCTATTTAAGTCCATATCATGCACATTTATTATAGTCTTTGTGTAAACATCAAAAATATACCAGAATTTGTTAAATAATGCTTATATGTTATTGTTAATCAAGATCTATCAAGGCACCTGTCAAAAAGTAACTTAATCATTAAGTTCTAAATTGCTGTTCAATTCGTAATTGAATGCCATTAGTATTTTTTCAAAAATATTGTGTTACACTTTAATGAGTGGTCCAAAATTATATTTTGTTATTTGAAATAATGTACCTATTATGATAACATAAAACAAAGGGATGTATTTGGATAATTATGAAGTCCAGATATAAGACATTATTAATGGGGTAGTGACCAGACTGAATGTGAAATAGATTAACCCTTGACCTGCTGAAATTGTTTAATGGATTTGCCCTGCTTTGTGTTTGGAACAGTCCATTAGAAAATTAAGTAATATTTTAAAGGGACTCCACTTCGGCTTTTTAACACGACAGGATTGGAAACAATTTTTCGAGATTAATTCTTGATTTTATATAGGTATAACCCAATCACTTGTGTTCAAAATATTCCAAATTATTTGCTTACTCCATTTTTCCAGGATTATTATTCTTATTGGTAAAAAATGACCCAAAATTGAAAAGTGTTGCAAATTGCTTTTCAGCTTTGCACTCAAATCTGGCTAAAGACTGAAGTATAAAAATTTGATTTTCCCTTTATTTAAATCTGAGTATATTTCTTAAAATCTGTCTTTTTATGTGCCCCTTAGCAGCATTTCAAATTTTGTATGTTTATGTTTTTTTGGACCTCATTGGAGTTCTTTTTCAAATAACAAAAATTAAGCTAATAACAGTATAGACTGGTCTGGCTTAAAGGCCCATAATAGCTCAGAAATTCTTTCTGAAAACTTAATATTGTTTAAATATTTATGAAACATTTTAAAACATCAATATCAACACAGCATCTTGTTTGACATGAATTATTTTAAAACCATTAAGTAACATTAATATCAGCTCAAATTTTTGTCTTGTTTAATTATGTTTCAAGATTTGAGTCAATTTTTAGAACATTAATATCCACACAGAGTCTTGTTTGATATATTTCAAGATGCGAATCATTTGAGAACATTTATTATATCGACACAGTGTCTAAATAGTGTTTCATATATTTGAAGATATGAATCATTTAAGAACATTAATTTCAACACAGTGTGTTGTTTTAGAAATCAGCACATGTCAAAAAGATCATTATAAAAAAAGATATTCAAATTGTATCAGGTATGCGGCATATTGAATGAAATGCAACTTTAACTATGTAAGTTGACTTGCAGTCACGGTCTTCATCATGACTTGATTGTCCTTTTGTTACCTAATATAGTCTGTACATAAACTTTGATATTTGTCCTATAATGTAAAATAATACACCTAACCCATGGATAATTAACAATAATTAGCATTCATGAACTAATTAATAAACCTATAATTGGTTTAAATGACACAATCATTATGTACCTAACCTAATATCTTACATAGTCTCAGTAGATTATACATGATTCTGATTGTTTCGAAACTTTACAAAAGTTCGGTTTACTTAATTATCGTTAAGATAAGCATAAGATTTTTTGGTGAAATTAAGGCGTTCTATTTGGATTATGTTTTAATTCTGTATTGGAAATATAAACATGGTGAATGTTTACAAAGTGCGCTATTTCCAACAAACATTTTCCTCAGGTGATATATTAAATAATAAAAAGGTTACAAACTAAATATAACACTATTTTAATGGGAAGATGTATCATTTTTCAGGAGATAAATTTCTCGCCTGGTAAGAAGTTAATCATTATAAAGGAGGCTTAAATTATTATAAAAAACACCTTATTATAAATATCTAGCTTTGAAATTTATTAGTATCACATGTTGTACATTATCAAGACAAGAATATTTGTTTTCCCTGAGATATTATTAATATCTTGAGAGTGGAGAAAAATTGTAGACTTTCTTTGAAATTATAATCCAGGTATTGTACATGAGAGGACTAACAGGAATTATATGAACATTTATACACTGCAGGGCCGGCAAAATCTCAGAAAATTGTACTTGTCCACGGACAAGTAACCTAAGAAATTTACTTGTCCGTACTCAATGTTCACTTGTCCGTATTTATATTTAATATTTACTGCAAATGTCAATAAAAAGAGCAATATGATTATGAACTTTCTTTCAATTTTATTAAACATTCTATGCCATATGTTTAATAATATAATATATTATGATTGTAATATAATATATTTATAAAATGTTAACGGCAGTAGATTAAAGTAGAACGACAGTGATGGACAAATTGTGTATATTTTACTGGAAGGAGCATTGGTCTTTTGCCAGCACTTTTTCAGTTTTCCTTGCACCCAAATTGCTCTAAAATATTTTCTTCATTGTTTTGCACTCTAGCTGGTATCATTTCTTATTTATTCACTCCTTATTCTATTCATCTATATTATATTCATTTCAATGATTTGAATCCTTTTAAAAAATCATATGTACTCTTGAGTTAGATTTGTCAAATTGATGACATCTGGCTTTTTTTAACAATATAATTATGATTGCCACAGAATGTAATATCATATACGTACGTATATACGCTTGGTTGCAGCGGATGAATTGTGAAAATTTTGACATCATTACCATCGGCGACGATGAAACTGACATGTATACATTTAAACACCAGTATTAGACATTCAAAAACAGAGGCATTTTCACAAGAAATCTTTACATAAAATAAATTATAAAATGACTTTGTCCACATAAATTCAAGCAGTCAAATTGCCGATATGAGCGTTAATATTCCCGAATGACCTGGAAAAGCTATACAATGTATTTAAATTTCATTCTACACAGCGGTATTTCAAAGACAATTGTTGCGAGATTGATGCTGTGTCCGCTATCTAAACAATAAATGCGATTGAAAAGACCACAGCTTCCAATTCAATTTTATTGCAGAACCCCGTTTCTTCCGAAAATATTTTATTGCAGAGGCTAAGTCGGCAGTCATAAACCAAAACAAACATGTACCCTCAATAATTAGTTAATTGCCGCGCGCATGCAGTAACGCAAACAGGACGTTTCGGCCCCAAACCAAATCGGCCCCTGTCGAAAAATCGGCCCCTAGACGTTTCGGCCCTTTTCCGCGAGACGTTTCGGCCCCACTTTAGTATATTGCTTGATATGTTGAAAAAACGGTTTGCTATCATCTCATGATAATATTTTTAATTATTATTGTTATTAGATAATGATAGATGCTAGATGTAATAAAACTGATTGAAAAACTGAAACAAAATTATATTAAAATGCTATGTACCTGCTATAGATAAGTTATAACATTCGAAAATAAAGTGTTGGTGCGTATAATTGTTGGAATAATTGCATTATATATAAAATTAAATTAGAGAAATTATTTGCTGGATATTAACTGTGATTTAATACTTACAATAAGATTTTAAGTGTAGATATTATGAAATGTCCGATATAGGTATGCGATACAGGTAGATCAGTTTTGAATATATTAATTTAGAAAGGATTTCCCAAAAATTAATATATTGCACCGATAGTTCATTTGTTATTGTTTTCGTTTCCATCAAACTCGTCACTGTTAAATAGTTGTTGATGATAATTTAATGTCTGTCTCGTGTATTGTTTTGTGTCTTGCTTCTTTAATCTTTCAAATAAAATATTATCTATATATGTTGTAAA